GGCGGCTCAGGTGTCAATGTGTTAAGATTTTTCCCTATTACATGCCAAGATTCAAGCCAATTGCATTGAGAGCAATCAAAAATTACATTTCAGCTAGTTCCTTGAAAGAAACTCCCACCAACTCACTTTTTTTGGCAAGCTTCATAGATCTGTTGATTTGTTGTTAAGGTTGATCTTGCAGTGATCCAAAAAGAAACAGCTAAAACCACTGTTTCATTTTGAAGGTGAAATGACAGAGCAATGTGATAAGCAACAATGCCTTTTCACACACTACAGTCAACACCTTGAGGGGCCATAATTAAGAAACAGAAACAAAATTTAAAAGTATCAAACCATCACCACCACAAATGAATGAAGGGGACAAGTTTCTAAAGAAACTTTGGTGCTGCATCAGTAGGGTTATTAAGGTATTTTTGTTTCATCAACTAAGTTGAAATTGTAAAATTGGCCACCATAAAGAGTTAAAAAGCTGACATTTCAAGCGTTAACCCTTTGCCATTCGCTCTGATAAAGGGCTAACACTCGAAACATCAGCTTTTTCGCTCTTTACAGTGACCAATTTTCCATCACCACTACAGCCAATTGTGATTTAGAAAATGAAAAAAGTGAGAAAATATCTGGTTATAACACTAATTGTCTGTAACCAAACAGAACTGTGAATAACAACAACAGAAAAAAATCACAAGACACAGATCACAATCCACATCCACTGTGTACTGTTTATAAAAATATATTGGAAAAAACATTCTTTGGCCCCTCTGATGTACTATTCGCTCGATTTCAGGCAGTAACCTGGAAAATTTAGTGCCTAAATACCACTTTGTTTTAAATGGCTTGGAATTTTCTTGAAAATTCAACAGGCAAAAGGATTGCTCTATAGATTAGTAAATACTTTTACTAATTGTGCTTAACAGGAAGGAGATTGATGATACCCAGTATAATGCCCATAAATAAAAAAAAAAACATCTGTCACACAGGGAAAGAGTAAAGCAACCTGTTCAGGCTGCAGCAGCAAGTCAGCATTCAAAGCTAGCACTTCAAAGGTGCCTCAAAGAAAATCACTGCACCATCATCCATCAAAAACCCAAACTGATTTTTCACACAGCTCCAAACTCTTCTTTCTGGGGACAGTTATCATCTTGGGAAATATTTAAAATTCCAAAGAGCAGAATGAAGGAAATGAGAAATAAATAAACTCAAAAATTATGGCACATAGCAAACCACTTTTTCAAACAGTTCTGAAGTCAATTAACATCTTGTGAAAGATTTTAAACTTCAAAAGGCAGTTTGAAAAGTTGAACACTTGAGAAATTGGAAATAAAGAGCCAAGTCATAGTAGATATGAATGGCAACATAGACCCACACCGATTAAAACAAACAAAAAAAAAAAGCTTGCTAAGGTGGTTAGATTCCCCATAACATGGCTCACTACCCTGTTGTCATAGAAAGTATACTTGAAACAAACTACACCAATGTAAATAATGGTAAATCAATCCAAAAAAAATGTTGTCCAAGTTTGTAAAATAATCTAATTCAGGTTCAAATTAGGCATTAATGAGTCAGATTTCTCCACAACTGATGAAAAAATTAACCATTTCCATCACTCTACAGCGTGTAACATATTTTTAGAGTAAATCAGAGGAGACAAATGTTGTAACTGTTCATTTCTTGACATGAGCTAAACTAAGCTTGTTTCCAAAAGAATTCCCATTTTGAACTGCTCTTCTGCAAAAATTGTATTCTTGACCACAACAACAGCAGTTTACAGTGTAATCAAAAACCACACCAAAATTTGCACATCAAATACAACACAAGATTTGCAAGAAACAGCCCATCCTCCTGAATTATAAATGGAATTCTTTACATACTCAACATTGCAAGAATCACAGAATTTATTCAGATAAAGGTTATGAGGGTGTTTGAAAACACTGTTTCCAAGGGAGAGCTTGGTCAAAATATACATCAAGTCAAAATGCAGAGCCACTGTGTACACATGAAGAGTGAGTTATTGCAAAATTCTATACCCATTGCTACAGGCCAATTCACAAGTAAACCAAGTGATACAAATGAAATGGTTTGCACACTCTTTCTTCAGACCAGCCCATTATCAATGCAAAATATTCTTTGCCTTTACTAAACGTTTTCATTTCATCTTTATGCAGATTCAAGGTCCAAAAACGTAAAAGCAGGCAACCAGATCAACATCCTGTGTGGGGGAAATTTCCTGTTCATTTAAGGCGAATTTGCAGGAGAAAAATTAAGGTTCCTTACAAGGATCAAGCCATAAATTAAAATCCGAATAAAGATTAACAGCAACGACACAATCTTGGCCAAAACAGGAACATAAAAGGTGGCCACCGTTGCTTAGAGATCAAATAACACTATTAACAGTTGAAAGGAAAATTAAGCTTACCTAAAAATTATCGTTTCGAGATCAAACGGGTATTCAATGATACCAGAAGTGGGAGCACGAGCTCGCAGAACGTCTTGTTCTGTCGGAAGGTAATCAGGCTTGGCTAGTCGATCTAAGTCCGTTAGATAACTGAAAGTTTAGAGAATAAAATGCAGTTAGAATTACAGCATATGCTAATAAAATGCACAAGAACAAAAGTCAACTTTGCTAAACGAAGAAGCGACAAAACCGCTAACATGAAAAGCCCACGATGAAACATCATGTCAACTCAGCGTTTTTCTACGCAACAAAAAAAACTGAAAATTCTTAAATCGAATTCCTTTGATTGAAGGGTGAAATGGCGGCTTCTGTAAAATAAATGAATAAAATCGCAAATTCAACCGGTGTAAAACTGCTACGTTGTTGATCGTCATTAAGCCAACTGACAATTTAAAGCAGAATTTACAAGCGATCTTTATACGGACGAATATATCACACATCCTGCACCCAACATTGAATCCAAAATGTACCTGAATATTTCAAAATCAAAGTTACCAGATGAAAAGGACTAAAGCATTCGGACAGCAGTAGATGTTCCGAAACAAAGACCTTGTAGGGGATAATCCAGATGGAATCGGAGAGAATTCGAATATGGCGTGAAAATGCCACCTATGTGCAACAGAACTAAAAATGTATGCAACTATCGTTTAATCGAACCAAAAGCGTGACTGTTCTTAGGCAAAAATGACCATTTCACTTCAAAGACGACACACCAACACAATCCAAATGACATGTACACAGTGACTTACTATTTCGCAGAATCGCTAAGTTGGTACTCTCTCCTTCTGTCATAACATTCTTGCATGCCTTGGTCGTTCCAAAGAGATTTGGTCGCTATGTAATAGTCGTGTTCGAAGGTAGTAACATTTTTGGGGTCAACCTCTCGCATGGTCTTAGCATGCTCCTAAATAAAAATCGATGGAAAATGTATAAACATCAAAACATAAAGTCGCACAAAAAATCAAGTCTATCAATTTTCATTCGCCGGGGAGGCGTTTTCAGAGCGGGTAACTTCTGAAGTAATTGAGCAAAAACACAGTATATGTAATAAACAAGGTCATAAAGTAGTCTAAAATGTAATTCATACCGGATTTGCTGGATTTTTGTACGCTATTTTCAAGGATTCCATCGCTAACGTTAGAGACTGTATGGCGGTTATAACATTCTGATATACCAAAGCCACATAGCCTAGTTTATCTTCATCACTGTAACCCTGCCCGTGAATAATTCTCATCTGCTTTATGAAGGTACTTTTGCCTGATTCTCCAGTTCCTGTGAAAAGAACACATCCCACGTTCAGAAATCTCACCAAGAAAAACATCCCAAACCCACACTTCACCACGGAAACACCATCGAACCCTTGATGAGAGCCAAGATCGATATGAACTCTGAATTGCTGCTCCAAAATAAAGCCTTATACTTTCTTATTCTGTACGCAGGATGAAAAGAAGGTCTTAATTTATTTAGTGGCAGTCAGGATTAAATTTAAGCATTTATACCAAATAAGAGAGTGCGCTAACAAAACATGGAGTCGGTTTAAAAGGTCTGGAACAATCGGCTGCTGGATTCTCGTCGATTACTTCACATCTCGCTTAGCCAGCGGAGCAATACTTGGATCGCGTATGTAAAAGTATATCTTCACAAGTATATTTAGCATACGTAGGTATACAAGTTTCTCTATAAATGCATATGTTTTCTATATATACTTTTATCTGTATTTTATCGAGCGAACATTTCCATGCGACTAGAGTCAAGGAACACAGCGCAGCAGTTCATGCAGATTTTAGGTGAAACACGACCGCTAACTAGAAAATCATATTCAATCCTCACCGAGTAAGAGTAGTTTCAGTTCTCTTCTTTGATTCTTTTTATCCTGCCTTAGCTGTTTTTCGATCTCGGCGTTGATTCGCCTGATCTCCTTCTGCTCCTCACTCATACAGCACGTCATCTTGAAAGAACAAATTGCCTTCGATCGCCACAACCTATGCCAGCGATGGCGTCAAAAGGAACTATAGTTGTCCTTTTCGCTACCCGAGCCCCGAATGGAGCTACGAGTCCACTGAAACTACCGAATTTATTCTTCCAAAATGGTGAACCACTCAGTCTTGTAGGGCGTAGGCGACCTTCGAAAGCTTTTCCCAGCAATCATTGAAAAACGTCCACAAGTGTAACTAATCCAAATAAGGCCAAGGCCTCCATATTTGGAAGCCTATTTTCCTCGCCCCAGACAAAATGTGCCGCATTTTTCCGCCAGCTAGCAACGCCTGGCGATATTTGATGCCTTTTTCTTCCGCCATTTTGTCTTCCGAAAATGGCTTTGATTTTTATCGCATTGATGTTGCAGAATTGTCTCTGAAACAACGATTTGGATGATATTTTGAACTGCTAAATTCATCTCGTTTAGGAGAACGAAAAACCACCGTGCGAATAGGAGAGGAACGAACGAATAGGAGAGGAACGAACGATCGTGGTAAATTTGATCTTTGAACTTTTGCTCGTTTTTAGATGGATTTTACTTTCTTTAATTTATTTTATTTATTCATAAATCGTTATTTTTATGAATTTGAACACTGAGATACAAATGGTAAGTTAATTTTTTTTATCATGGTTTCACCGTCTCGCTAGTAATCCCCAACTAATTTACATAAAAATATCTTTCAAGCTGAACAAATTTTGTTCTTTTTGCCGCATTAAAAACATTTTTGTAGATCAGTTATTTCACCAGACTCAATGATCATACAAGGAAATTAGCCATGGACTTTATATGCTTGTTTTACTTTAATTTCCTGTCAAGATCATAGAGCTTCAAGCATTTTTTTTTGTAAATAGTAGATCTAAAGGACTTTGGCCTGATTTGCTTCAATTCATATAAGAGCCATGCTAGGAGTAATAGTATCAATCGCATCTGTTAGTCCAGTTTGATTTTAAACATGTTTGAGGAAAAGGTTTAAAATGATACTCACATGAACCTGTGGGTCAGAAGGCAAATTGGGTTCAGTACCTTGGACAATACCATCAAAGGTGGTTTTTGTTTTGATGACACAATTACCCTTAATCTGGTAAATTTAGACAGTATATTATTCCATTCAATGCCAAATTTAGACTAAACAAACCAACACCTACTTTCTTGGCCTCTGAGGGTTTCGTACATTGTTGGTTCTAGTCCTTGCCATAAGGGTTTCTCGCTGAGTTCTTCAGTTTTCTTCCCTCCACAAAAACCAACTTTCCAAATTCTAATTTGAACTGAAAGGATAGACAAGAAGAGCCACCTTGGGGAATATCCATTGCTTATTTCTCATCACTAATTTTTCAACCCTCATGAGTGACCAAGACAGAATTTTCCTTACAATTTCAATACAAAATCCAGCTGGCAAGTGACGAGAATAAATAAAAACATATCAATTATGGGGTTATCAGTTGGTCCAATACCAAATTATCCAAATTAACATCATGGGTAGCAGTGGAGATAATATTATGTTCAATTGCAAGGAGCAAAACATAAAGACTTATGGGAAAAATTTTGAATCAGAAGATTTTGTGATTCAAAGGCATCACTATTTTTTGTTATGATTACAGAGAAATTAAAAAGTTTAAAAGTCAAATATTAAGACAAGGTTGATGGTAAGATCTATGCAATAAGATGTGAGTAATGAATGTGAAAGCAATCCTTGCAGTTATGAACACTACAGTACTGAATATAAGGCCTTAAAAAAAATAGTCATTTCTTACACCTCAGTTCACATATATGATTTTAATATATCCATTGTCATTGACTCCTCGCTTCATGGGTTCATTATGAACTAACATAGTGACTGGCTCCCAGTTGGCTTGTCAGCTCAGTTGGTAGAGCACTGCACCAGTAATGCAGTGGTCTTGGGTTCAAATACCATGCACACCTGAACTTTTTTCAGGCCTTATTTTCACAACTGCTCAGGTAGTGTTCATTACTGCAAGGATTACTTTCACATTCATTACTCACACCCCAGTTCACAAATATGATTTTCATATATTCATAGTCATAGATTTGAGTAAACCACTAACAGCTCTTGCTACTTATACTTGCAATATATACTTTGGGTAATTTGCTCAAGGAAAAACATTTGAAAGTTCATGTAACTTTAATCTGCTTGTTTCATTTTGATATGTGATTCAGTGAATCAGTTGATTACCAGTTTACATTTTTAAATCATGAAAGACTGATAAACAAAATCATTATCAAATAATGAATGCTCAGTGTTTGCCACAATGTGTTAAGTATCTAACAAGGCCAGCTGATATTTCTTATTTTACCATTTATTTCAGTCATTTTGAAATTATCGGAGATTCTTGCTATCTAATTAGCTCTCAGAAGTGCAATTTGTTTACAGAAGGCACTAGCATGCTCTAAATCACCTTTTTTTTTTTCAACAACACTAAAACAAAACAATGAATCAATATCCAGCTAGAATACTGCAGGAATAAGAAAAATAAATAAGCAATCGCTTAACAAATTTGGAACTTTGTCTCTAAAACTTTGTTTGTTTTTATTTGATTTTGCTGGAAAAGCTCTGGAAAATATTAAAAAACTGCTTCCAAGACTTGCAAACCTAAAAAATGTTCCATACAACTGATAAGATTGTAATTACAGTGGTAGGCCAATTCTGGCCTCCTAAACAATGTTTTCTCTGTCCAAATTGAAGTATTCTTCAGTAGCACATTACAGTCTGTGCCTTTGTCTTGCCATTTCTCATTGGTTTTCTTTACAATTTCTGCCTATTTTCTTTGTGCCATTGCTTTCATTCAGCAATAAATAAATTACAGTCTTTGCTTTTCTGGTCAGCAGTTCATTCCGTTTCTGGTGCTTTAATTGCATTACCACACATTTTGATTGAGTTTCTTGAGAATCAGGGACTTGATCACAAAATTAGATTAAATTTATCATTCTCTCTGACAAACTTCACTTACATTTATGTCATCTTGTGGTTTACGAACTTTTCAAGTGTTCCCCCAACATCCTGTGTGGTTTAATATTAGCTTGTAATATATGAAGTGTGGTTTATTGCTTAAATAGTTACAGTGTTCATCAATAAATTGTATGAAAACTTTTTGTGAAACTCAAAAATGTGATCACCAGAAATCAAGGCTTGAAATGATTTCCAAGGTTGCTTGTCAATCCTGTTTTGGCTGGGGCACAATCCATTTTTGACCAGACAAATGTCCATTATGTTAATCTCGTAAATTCCCCTCCCCTCTATAAAACAAGTATATTTACCACCCTTTTATTGTACATGCAGCCTACAACTCATTGCAGGAAAAGTGGAACAAAGTATTTAAGATCTCAAACTTGATACAGAGTATTAGACCTAAACTTAGCCTGGAATAACATTCTTCTTTACATACCTAAACAACCAGACAAGATGTGTGGCTATCCAAGGAGGCAACCAGACACAAATCTCTCTTTGAGCAGACATTTTCCATTGACTGGCCACCATTTTGAGTCATGGGAAGTATTTGCAGTGTGTTAATTTTTTTTTCTTTGGAAAAAGCAAATCAGAAAACTAAACCACAAACAGCAACAGTGATTAACTTGTCAGTTTGAGGTTAGCTTGCTCATTCTGAACTTTACTTTGATTGGAGATCCACCTGCCAGAATCAATTAAAAGCATTTAAGACTTTCAGTTTTATGTCCATTTACAATTGACACAATGCAAGTTATTGAAAAGTACTTACTTTGTCTTTCAATTGGTGCATGAAATCCATATTTTCTACATGTGAGTATAAGATTGGGTCAGTACTGCTTCCTTCATTTCCTTTATTTTCTTTACAGAATATACGTACATTAAGCTATCAAGAGAATGAAGCATTTTTAACACCCTAAAATCAGTATGCATTTTTTCCTTACTTTTCTCTATAACTTAGTTGTGACAAGAAGAATTTGTTTAACAATCAATAGCTTCTTCAGTTGGTAATTATTTCCTTTATTCTCAAGATCTTAATATTTGCTTCAGGGGTGATATTTTAAGGAGAAATTGGATGCTGGTCACTGTTAAAAGTTAAAGACTGTTAAGGAGTTAAGGATGTTGAAGCAACTGTATAAACTGTGACAGAGTGAAGAAAACAATCTGGCACTGTCAAGCTAGGAAAAGAAATCCTTACTAATGAAGGATGCCAGAAGTAAAACATTGCCCAAATACTGCTGTCAACCCAGTTTCAAAAACAAAGCTAGATGGTTAGTCCCCAAATTCCAATTTGGCAAGTTGGGCAAAAACTCGTGCTTCTAATATTACAGAAATATCTGGAGAAGAACAGCTCTGCCAGAAGTGGACTCCTATTGGGCAGTCCTTGAATTAAAATGTTTAAACTCTAGAAGGAATATAATTGTAATAACAAGGTGGAGATCAGCAAGAACAAGAATGACTGACTTTTTGAGATTTTCAACACAGAAATACACTAATTTCATAAATTCACTCAGATGTATCTCTCTCCTAAGGTTCTATTAAAAATGATTTTTTTTTTCACTTAAATGTTGAGTTTGGTCTATGGAGAGATGAATAGTTCTAGGTTATGTAAGATTCTTGTAGGATCTTACAAACATTCTTCTAAGAATCTGGCAAGATCTTGTAAAAATGTTGCCTTTTATGTAATTTTCCAAGAAAGGTTCTTACCAGAATCTTAAAATATCTTGATAGATTCTTTTAAGATAAGACAAGTCCAGAGCAAGATCTTACAAAGATTCTTAAAAGAACCTTTCAAGAACTTGTAGGATTCTTTAAGGTAATACAACTCCAGAGCAAGATCTTGCAAAACGCTTGTACAAATCTTTGTACAAGGACCTCATAAGATCTTTTGAGGTTCTTGTCGAAGATGTCAGGTACGATCTTTGTCAGAAACTTAATAAAATTCTAACTAAGATCGTAATAAGATTTCCACTTGGAAGCTTCTATAGAGGCTTTGCACAGCAGCCATGTTGGATGACAGGAACAATATATTATTTTACCCATGGGAAAAATTTTTCTTTCTTATGCAAAATATTTTCATTGTTCCTGCCATCCAACACGGCTGCTGTGCAAAACCTTTATGGGAGACATATAGCTTTCTCTGCTCATCTGTCTCGCTGTCTTTGTTTGTCTGTGTGTGTCTACCCCGGTTGCATGCAC